CCCCCCCCCCCCCCCCCCCCGAGGAAAAAATCCCCCAAAACATTGTCTGCAGTGTTGTGTAACAAAAGTGATAGTGTTATGCAAGGGGGGGAAGAGTCAGAAAGTGAAAGGACTGTAAACAAAAGCTGGGAACGGAATGCCACCCTGTGAGCAGGCAGGTTTGTGGCTGGGGTTTGTTTTGTTTTATTTTATTGATGCTGCTAATTACCAACGTGAAGACGCTAGTTTCAGGATTTAGACAAATTCCGCTGGGGTAAGGCTGGTAGAGAAGGGTATATAACACGGAAATACCCAGTAGGGACTAAGAAATAAGCGGAGGTGTCCTGGGGGAGAGGAGCAGGGGTCAGTGAGGGATTAGGGACCCGTAGCTGTGAAGGGAGCAGGGTGTGGGTGGGGGAGCGCTGGGGCTGTGGTAAACTGCAATTCCCAGCTGTATCCCACTGGGTAATTAAGGCATTAGGGGAGGATAAGCATAACTTTAAACTTGAGTTGCTGTACTGTGCATGTCTGGTACTTGTTTCTTCCCTTCCCCGGTACTTATTTTACGTCAGCTTTTCTTTTTACAATACTTTTTAGCCTTTTCAAGTGGAGTGCGTATTCAGCAGGCTGAAAGCAAACTGTTTGCCAGTTAAGTAGCGTTTCAGCTGTTCTGGTTTTGAAACCTCAAGTAGTACACAATGGAAAAAAAAAATCCTTGAAATAGTTTACCTATGACAAAAAGAAAGCTTTTTCCAGAATGAAAATACAGAGTCTTCCTGAATACCGTGTTGCAGTACTGGTCTTCCCTCCCTCTGCACGCTTTTCTCCCCCCCACCCCCCAGAAGAGAATAGCTTTGGCTCTGGAAACTCACTTCCAATAAGGGTGGAGTGAAATTATTTTTGCTGCTTTCTGCCAAAATAAAATGAAATTTATCAAAATGAAAATTGTACAACTCTTGTGGAGCCAAGTACTTGTATTAAAATTTGTTTTTAATTTTTTTTTTCAGCTGATACTTTGTTTTGCTCATATACCAATGAGTTTTTATGTGTGCGTGTGAACTTCTTGGAGAAATGCCAAGGACTGGAGACTGGGACAGTGCCAGCTTTTATAAAGTCTTTTTGATGTCACTGAAATGAGGAATATACCTGAAGTGTCTCACACGACTGTCTTCAGGGCAGAAACATTGTGTGAAGTTTGCAAGTTGCCTGGGTAAGGGGTTAATTGAGTGATTTCTCTCTTCAAAAGCATTTTATTTATATTTTAACTATATTGTA